ATATCTCTTACTTGCTTTGACGCAGTGCTTTTTATGAAGTACTTGTCTTGGTTTTTCACAGTCTGTCTTCAATCTAGGACCTGTTAGAGTAGATCTTGACACAAAACGATTTAAAAAAATCTTTGAGAAGACGGAATACATGGACGAAGCAACAGAGGACAATGCCGCTTCACCTACACGCCTGGAATATTGCAAGTCATCTGGTCCAAATAGTTTAGTAAAAGAGTAGATGTTCAAATTGCATCAGCGACTTATCAACGAGTTGTTTTATACTCAACTTGAGTTAGTAGACTAGTAGTGATGACAAATCCTCTTACGAAGATGCCATCTATGGGATCAGAAAACTTGCACCTCGAATATGGAAGACAAACGACGGTCTCATAAATGGCGTCTACATAAGGGGAGTCTTCATCACCACTACTCACTCAGAGTTGTTCTAGTTGGGATAGAATGCAAGTCGAAACAGCACTGTTTAGTATTGGAACGAAGATGGGATGCTATTAACCTCTGGGATCATTCGAGTGTTCATAGTTGCTGAAATTTCCATCAGGGTGGAGAAATTTTATAGTAATGTATACTTAAACTTATATTTGTTTTCATTCAGTATGTTATAATTGGTTGACAACAGCAGTCAGTCTGATGAAAGTAACTAAAGAAAACTGAAATCTACAATTTACTTGAGAAAGATAGGTAACATGAATTGATTGTTGCCTAGAGGTTGACTTATAAAATTTTGATGGTTTTAATTTGACTGTCGAAGTTGTCTGAAATTGTGAAATTTCAACTGAAAATTATATTTCAATCATATTTAAATATTGGTAGTATGAAGAACTGCCGTTGCGAAGTAGTTTCTTCAGAAGACGAACAATTTAATAAGTCTTCCATTTGTACAGTGCTATGTAAATCAAGATCTTGAACATAAAGTACATACTTTGTGATAACATCTGAAATAATGTAAAAAAATCTGCATGAATAATTTTGGGTTTATAATAACTCTAGATTGTTTTACTTCAATTCAATTTATTGGTTTCATACAATACCATTTTCTATATATATATATA